AGACGAGGGCTGGGTTAGGACAGTGCCGCAGTCCAAATTCCACGTGTCCTCTCAAACTCCTCCAGGCCTCCCACCTAGCTCCATAGCGGCACATCCCACCAGCCGCCCCTACTCTGGCTTCTTTTCAGGCAACTTGCCTTTTGACTCCATCATTCATTCATTCATTGTCTCTGGTTTTTGCAGATTTGGTCTTCTTTTTCCTATTTGGGATCATACTGATTCCTCACTAAGCACTTCTAGCTACAGTTCTGGAAAAGTCTAAGCCAGTACTTCTGCAAATATTGTTTCAATACTCTATTCCTCCTTCTGAAATTTCAGGGATCCTTCTCAAGCACAGGTCACAGGCTCTACCTAGCTCCCTGCTTCCACAGCCCCACTACCGACTCTTGGCTTTTCTGCTGAGCCATGACTTCACCTAGATTTTGGTTATTCACCAGGCAGGAGCCCTGGCCCAACCCTTTTCTTCCCAACTTTGCTCAGAAGACTCACGTAGGTTCAGGCCCCACGGATGACCCGTGTTGGACAGTCGTTTTCCTGACCTTCCATCTTGCCCACAGAGCCCCTTCAGCTGGACCCCTCATCCACCTGACTCAGCTGGTCCCCTCCGCACCTGCCCAGTTGCTGTCCACACATTGCCATCCCCGCCCACTGTAGCGGCTCACCTTGGTAGCCACCACCACAGTTTGTAGTTCCCTTTTGGTTTGTGACACCTGGGTTTTCTTTCCTCTTTGCAAGGACTTGGTTTCTGTATTTTTAATTTTGTGATTTCTTTTTTTCTACAACATTCTTATGAGGCTAAACCATTTAAAATGACTACTTTTCGTGATCAAAAATAGTTGAGCATCAGCAATTTTACATAACAATGTAGTATTTGGATGGACTGGGGTCTTTCTATGTTTCTCAGCCTTATGGAAGTCTACAGCTTTGATAAGATTTTTAAAACTTAAACAATTTAATGTAGTATTTATTAGTATCGCAAATGGCACCCAAAAAAGTGAAAAATGAAAATGGGTCTTAAATGTCTACTCTTAGGTAGTGCCATTGACCTACAAAAATATACCTGAATATGGTGAGAGCATTCAAACTACACATACAGGAATATATATATGAATGTATTCTTGGCTTCCCTCCCCAACAGTAGCCTCCACCATGGCAAACACTGCTAACAGTTTCTTATGATTGGTGGGGTATATTATGCACACTCTCCTGTGCTCCTTTTAAATAATTTAGCAAACATCTTGCTGATCTTTCCACTTCAGCGCATAACTTTTAAGACTCATTCTTTTCAGTAGCATCAGAGAAACCTCTCCTGTTCACCCTGATGCATTTAGCCATGCCCATGGGTGAACCCCTTGCTTATCTTGTTTCTTGGGGGGAATTTTCATATGTAGATACCATAGGCAAATTTCTGGCCATGGGATTACTGAATCAAGGAGAGGGGCACCTTAAATGCAGACACATTCAGGGAAATCACACAGCTGGTGCCAACCACAGCCACAGCGCAGACGGCTCATCTCCCCAGCCCCTCACCACACAAGTGCCACCCAACATTTACGTTTGGGACAGCGCACTAGGTCAGAAGAAATATCGCACTGTTTTGACCTGCATTTCTTTGAGTATGACTCTCTTCGCTTATTGAACGATTTTCTTTCTGTAGCGTCCCTTCATCCCCTCATAGTTCCTGGCCATTCTCTGGTGGTTACTTACAATTTTTGCTATTAGTTTATAAAAGCTTTTTACTCCTTTAGGAAATTTCTTTCATTGTCATATGTTTTGAAATATTTTTCCAGGGTGGGGTTGGTCTCTTGGCTTTGTTTATGATGTTTGGGCCATGTAGATGTTTGTTTTTTTTAAACTATTGTTTTTATTAGTTGATGCTTAATTTTTATATAGTCTTTCTGTCTTCTTTGGAGCAATCAGCGTATGTATCCTGATTTCTGCACACCAAGATGCTGATGCATCCATTCACACTGCATTCTAGTCTCCTAAATGTCATTGTTACAAATAAATGTTTACCTCGTTGGAAATTTACCTTGATGTTGTGTCAAGAGGGATCCAATTTTATATATTTCCCATATTATCCTGCACCAGTTATAAAAATCATCTATTTTCTTCAAGTTTTTTGAAATGATGCCCTTATCATAAACTTTTGACCTATTTCCTTTAATACTGTCATCTTTTTAATTATTAGAATTTCATGATATGTCTTAATGTCTAATTGGGCAAATCCTCTTCACTCTTTTTCTTTCTAACAAACTTCCTCACTAGTCTTTCACGTTTGCTTTTTATTTAGCTTTGAGATGGCAACAGATGTGTAGTTTTAATTTAGGAAAACTGACCTGCCCTCTTAGCACAGCAGGCAGTGCAGCAGTCTCATAATTTATGGAAAACTGGACCTTAAACAATATAATTCTTCCTTTTCAAGAGTATACAATGCTTTTCCATTAATTGATCTCTTTTCATGGATTTTCAAAGCTTTCCTATATACTTTCTTTATAAACAAGAAGCCTGCACATTTCCTGTTACTTCTGGGCATTTTACCTTCCTTAGTACTGTTGTGATTGGATTCCTCCATTATAAGCTCTAACTGGTTATGGTTTGTTTTTATGGAAACTTCTCTTATTGGTGATAATTTTTCTTACCATCCCATTAACATACTGTTTCCCATAGCTTTTCACTCATCCCTGAAATTTTCTTGGTAGAGAATTACATCATCTGCAAATATTGATAATTTTGTTTCTTTTTTTGCTTCAATGTTTTAACCTTTTTTTCCTCCTTTATAATTGCATTGGCTGATACTTCTATATAAACCAGAGACAACAGTGCACATCCCTCTTTAAATGGCAATGCTCTTGCTGCTTCACCATTACAGCTACTGTTTGTACTGGGCTTGCTATGTGCTCAGCCCCGGACCCAGCCCTGCACACAGGAATCCTCACCACTGCCTTTTGAGGTTGGCACTGTTGTTATCCCACCTGCAGGAGAGGGGACAGACACAGGCGCTGGTGAACTTGCCTGGAGTCACACAGCTGATGGAGGATGAAGCCAGACACTAATCCTGGCTAGACTCTGATCCCCCAAGACTCTGAGGGGCTGCTTTTCCTCAAGTGAAAGAAGAAGGCATCTTTTCCCCAAAGGGTGTAATTACTTGCTTTTTAACCAAAAAGTGGGTGGCCTTTTGGTCAAAAGCCTTTCAACATTTACTAAAATAATCCTATTTCTTTTTATCCTCTGACTTACTAGAATAGTAGGTTATACTGACGGAGTCCCTAATACTGAACCATCCTTGCATTCCAGAAAATTTAGTCAAGGTATAGGATCATTTTACTGTTATTTAGATTGCAAGCTGAGTGTGGCTCCCAGTCTCTGAGCGTGGCCTCCTTTCCACAATGCAACGAGGTGAAAGCAAGGAGATTTGTTATGCTGTGGACATTTCTGATACACAGGTCTGATCGTTTCAAAACCTGCCTGCAGGAAGGAAGAAGAGCAGCAACCTCCAGCCAGAAACAGGCAGACTCCTTGACCTTTATTCTGAACCTGTCAAATTTACCTGGTGCAGCCAAGTAAGTAAATATTTTAAAAAGAAATATTCAGATCTGAAGGAAATGAAAACATGGCTCATCCAAATTTTGTGAGACCCAGCTGAGGCAGTGCTGTAGAAGGAATTCTGTGGCTTTAAAAAGGTCAGAAATTTAGAAGGTTTACAAAGCTATGGTTTAAAGGTTCAAAGCAGTAGATATAAGAATATTCTAAAATCTCAGTGAAATGGATTAATTCCTAGAAACATGCCAGATTTAGCTCAAGAAATAGAGCACTTGACCAGAGGGATAAGTATGAAACAGAACGATAAAAGATTCACCTCCTTGGGGCCCACATAGTTCTGCTGTTTCCACCAAAAATTTGAAAGAACAATAATTCCTCTTTTATGCAGGTAGTTCCAGGAAACAGAGGATCTCTGGGGCTTTGAGGGTAGGGTGGTTGTATGTGGCTGAGACCTTGCCACTTTCAAGGTCCAGGCCCCACGGACGCTGCACGTGGAGGTGAAGGATTTCACTTACACGCCGGGTGAGGATTAAATAGTTAACCGAGCAAACCCTTGGGGTAGCGCCTGGCACCTGCTGGACGCTGCAGAGGCTTGGCCCTGGGGATGAAGGGTGCAGGCGCCAGGGGCTGCGTGGGCAGGGGCGGCATGACGTCACCGCAGTTCCGGTGGGTGAGCTGGCCGGAGGCTTTGTCAAAACTGCCCAGCGGTGGGGCTGCGGATGGAGGTCGGTGGCACGCAGAGATGCCAGCCGTCCCTGGTGACCTGCTTTCTGGCTGGGGGGCTGACGAAGGCTGGGGTTTGCCGGTGTGGACCGAGGGCCGCCAGTGACTTGGTCTCAGGGAGCTGAGCTGGAGAAACAGGGTGTGGGGACCTGGGCGTGGGGGCGAGAGGATGGTGGGGGTCTCCCCCCGAGGCATGCCGGGAGGAGAGGCGGCAGGCCCGCTGGCCGGCCGGTTGCATCATCCCCGCGCTGAGGGCTGTCTGCGATGCTCTGGCCAAATGCCAGGAGCGATCGAAAAACCCACCTGTTACACCTCGGAGTCCGTGTCCCCACACCCCTTACACGCCCACGCCCCCTCCCCGAGCGAGGAGCCCACCCGAATTCGTCTCTCTGCATCGACGCGTTTGTGCTGCCGGCATCGCGGGTGGGGCAGGTGGGGATTTAGTGGTTTCACGCGAAAGGGCTCCGAGCTGGGGAGGGCCAGGCGCTCTGGGTACGCGGGCAAATGCAGGTGGGTGGTCGCGGGGACTCGGGGTTGCCCAGTGAGCTGGGGTTGCGCTAGAGGAGGGGGCGGCGCGTCCCGACTGCGCTGCCGGGCCCCCACCTCCCCACCAGGGCACCGCCCGTCAGCGGTGATGTCACACCCAGGCCCCAGCCCCCTCCGGCCCCAGCCCCCTCCGGCCCCGCGGCGGCCGCGACGCCCGTCCCTCTTCGGGCCGGGGGCCCGCAGCCGTCACGCGGTGCCGCCGTCAGAGCGCCCAGCGCAGCCGGGGAGCAGCAGCCGCTCTGCGCTCGCTCGAGACCCGCGCCCCTGCCGATGCTCATGCCGCGCCGCCGCCGCCAGTGACGCCGGAGAGGTAGGGCCGCGGCTCGCCGGGCCTCCGGGGCCGCATCCCGCACCTGCGTCCAGCGCTCCCCGGGCGGGGAGCTCGCGCCCGGATCCCTTGGCGCGGCCCCTTCACTTCCCCCGGCCCTCCCCCGTCCCTGCGGAGAACAATGGGGCAAATTCAGGGGTGTCCGCCCTTCTTGCGCAGCGAGGCACGGCCCTCTGGAGAGGCCCTTTGGTTGCGGCCCCGGCTGCAGGGGGACGCTGGTTTGGCGCAGGCGGGGTCGCTGCGGGGAGGACGCAGGCAGCTGGCAGCATCTCGATAAACCCTCCTCGTTTCCGCGATCTTCCACTCGCCCGGGCTGGAGCCGACACCCGGGATGCAGCCCGGACTGGGGCTGCACAGGTGGGGGAGGGGAGGGATGGAGCAAAGAAGAGAAAGGCGGAAGGGGCACCCGGGAGGGGGCGCGGCTGGGCGGCCCGGCCAGAGGGGAGGGTGTCCCCGGCGGCGGGGCGCAGGCAGGGGCCCTGGTCCCCGGGGTGGGGGAGGGCGGATGCTGGAGCTGAGAGCAAAACCGGCGGGGGCTGCGGTGGGAGGGCTGGCTGCCGGCTTGGTGCGCGTCGCCGGGACTGCCCAGAGCCCAGCCCAGGTCGCGTCCTTCTCTCGAGACCCCTTCTCCCTTCCAGAAAGCCCCACGGTTTGGGAGGGCCCGCCTGCGGACACGGCTTGCTTCCACGCAGGCGGCGCCCCAGTAACAGGTGTGGCCCGGCGGCAGGAGGGGAGGGGGCTGCGGGGCCGCGACGTCTCGGCTGGAGGCGCTCTCCGGGCGCCGGGGCTCGGGTGACAGGGGCGCCGCCGCGCAGCCCCTTTGGCTTGTCCTTTAAGCCGCCTCCCGCCCTAGTTCTCCCGCAAACCCAGCAGGCATCTCTCGGGCTCGGGGAAGGGCCGGGACTGCATCCCGGCGGGGAAGGAGGGTCCGCCGTCTGCCCGGCGCTGGGTGGGCGGGGGGACCGCGGGCCGCAGGGCAGGAAGGGGGAGGGAAGGAGGGAATGCCGAGTCATGGGGCCCGTCGGGCGCGGGCGCGAAGCGCGCCCACGTTCCCGGGGATGGGGGCTCTCCCGCCGAGACCCGCGGACCCCGCCCCAGGCGGCCGCCCCTCCCGGGGATGCCAGCGTTTCTCTGGTAAAAGCCCGTTAGCGCAAAGGGCTGGCTGGCCCCGGCGGCTGCGGGGAGGCCCGTGCGCGCAGGGCCGTCTGCGTCCTAACCCCGGGGAGTCGGCGCGACGCCCCGCGCGCTTCTGCAGCACCGCCGCCTCCGCCCCCGCCCCGCCCCCAGCTCTCGGGCTGTAAGGGGGGCCTTTCCCGGAACGCGTGCCCATCCCCCTGAGCGAGCCGCTGGGGTCTGGAGTGGGGGCGGGGGCCGTACCTGCGGCGGCCATTTTGCAGGTGTGGTTGGCCACCCGCCCCGGCTGAGGCCGCGGGGCGCGGGGGTCGGGAGTGGGGCGGGGGCGGCGCCTGCAGCGTCAGCATTGTAGGGTGGAGGATGCTGCGGGCCGGGTCAGGTCTCAGGTCTGCACTCGACTGCGGTCAAGGCTCAGGAACCTTCTGGGGCTGACCGTTGCAAAGAGGCCACTGACTGGGAGCCGGAGATGGAGTGAACGGGGACAGTCCGTTTCCCGGGCTGTGAAGGCTGCTGAGGGGGCCGGGTCCCAGCCAAGGCGGGGTCTTGGAGTTCATCAGGTGCTGGGCCTGGAGCTGAGGGGGGTGGAGAGCTGTCCGCGGGGTGTGGTCCACAGGGAGACAGAGCGTCCGGTGTGGAGTCAGGGTCCTGAGGAGGGCTTGCGGGTGCCCGCCACGGGCTCTGCCCCTCCTGCGTGTCCTCCCTTCCGCTCACCCCCGCTGGAGTGGCCCACAGACTTGCCCTCCTGCGTCCTCCCGCGGGCCGGCCACACACAGCCAGGTGGAGGCTGGTGCGCGGCCAATCTGGGAATCACACCTGGCAGAGGGGCCCCAGGGCCCCCTTCAGCCCCTGGGTGTCACCAATGCTGACCCAGGGCTGACCGCATCCTTTGGAAGCAGAGCAGGGAAGTGGGCCCTGCGGAGGTGGGATGGGCTTGGGGGAGGGACCAGGAATGGGGGACAGACCTGTGTGGGAAGTGGAGATGGGGGTGCCCAGCCTCAGGAGCAGGTCCCTTCAGCTCAAATAGGCCAGCCGAGGTGGGTGAGCAGGGCGCGGGTCCTGCTGTCAGGGGACCGGGAACCCCACCCTGGCCTTTAGGACTGACTGACCAGTCCTTCAGGCCTGAGAGCCTCCCCAGCCTGGAAGGGCCTGGGCCACCTCCCCTGGGAAGGAGAGCGGCTGGCTGGGGTCTCCCCGGGGCCCAACCCCAGCTGCTCCCTAGAGAGCTCTCCACTCAGTGTTCTTAGCCCAAAGGCCCGGGCTCCCCACCCCCACCCGACGTGCCACCTGCACCGTCTCCCCGACCGCAACCAGGTGCCGCTCCAGGAGCTCTGACGGCTATGCCCTCCTCCAAGCTCTCCGCGCGGCTGAGGTGCCCAGGGACACAGGCCGCTGGGCCTGTCCCCTTCGCTGATGGGGCCCTTCCCACCTGGCATCGTCCGCAGATGCAGCCCAGGATGGGGGGCGGTGAGATGGCAGATGGGGTGGCTGGCAGGCGCATGCTTCCTGCCCCACCTGCTCTAGCAGGTTTGCGTTTTAACTCCGGAGCACCGCCAGGACCCTGGCTTCTGGTCCAGGGTTGACCTCAGGCTCCCCCAGCGCCACTGGCCTAGAGCCTCAGGGCCTCGGTGAAGGGGTCGCCGAGTTGGAGACACTGGAGGGGGGAGGGCACACTCAAGGTCAGCGGTCAGCGGAGACTGAGCCTCCTGAGCCCTCTGCGTTTTCCCCAGCCCCACTGCGGGCTTTGGCTCCCTGACCCACACCACCCGAGCTGGCTCCCCACCCTTGCCGGGCCCCCTGGCAGCCTCGTAGGTGCCACCGGACGGAGCGGGACACACCGTCCGCTCCTCTCTATCCCTGGGATTTACTCTCCTAATCCCGGCTCAGCTCTGGGCCGAGCCCCGCCCCGCCCCGCCGCCTCACGCCCCGCCCCGCCAGGGCGCCGGTGGGCGGGGCGGCACCCCTGCTGCTCCACGCCCGTCAGGGCTCCTGCGGGTCTGCGGGGGGCACAGGGGCCGGGCGCCAGGCCGCGTCTTGTCACTCGTCACTCCGCTCCGCATCGCTGTTGGGCAGACTGGAGAGCTACCTGGAGACACACTCACAGTCATTTTCACACGGTCACACACACACACTCTCTTCCACACATACACTCTCACACTCACATTCTCTCACACAAACACCCCCTCACACATATACTCAAACATACACACATAGTCTCACACTCACACACACACACTCCCTTCCACACTCACATTCTCTCTCACACAAACACAGTCACATACACACACTCCCCCACACATACATTCTCTCTGACAGAACCACCCCTCACACGTACACATTCACACTCACACTCTGACACACACACTGCACACATACACACTTGTGTGCCCACACACACACACCGTCTTACACACACTCTGACACACACCCCACTCACACACATACTCTGGCACACACACTCCACACTCACACTCTCCCTCACACACTCATACATACAAACCCTCTCACACACACACCCTCTCCCGCACACACACTCACACGCATCCTCACACACACTCGCACACGCGCAGACTGTAGCCTGTACCCGGCTCGTGCCTCCCTGGTCCTCTTTCTCCCAGGAGCCTCCACACCCACACCGGCTCCCCCCACTGCCCCGCTCCCGGGCTCCAGCCCCCTAAAGCCTGTGGTAAGCACCAGGAGGGCCACCCCAGCCCCTGTGAGTAGGTCACACGGACCAGGGAGGAGGATGTGAGCGCGGATGGGGCGCGGACTGCACTGTACACCCCCGCGTGCCCCCTCGTCCTGTGCTCCTAACGCCCAGACGGGCAGGCAGCGTGGCCCCCATTTTCCAGATTTGGAGGCTGAGGCTCCTGGGAAGGCCAGTGACCTGTCGCAGAGGACCTGGGACCCCACTCCATCTGCCTCTGACTCCAAAGACGGGGCTCTTTTAGTGCCACCTGCCCCGAGCCAGCGTGGTGCCAGCACAGAGCCTCACCAGCAGCTGGGCCAGGTGCTGCAGCCAGAGGATCCATTTCCTGTGGGCCCGGGCAGCGGCCACCGCTCTGTGGGTGGTGGGGGTGGTCTGTGTGTCTGTGTGCCTCCCCTTTGGGCTGGCCTGTGGTCCTGAGACGCTGCTCCAGGACGGGTGCGGGGGTGGGGGGGTGGGGGGGTGGAGCGTCGCCCAGGCCCAGCCCCCTGCAGCCCCCCGCCCCACCCAGCCCTTGTCCTGTCCTGGGAGGGGGTGATGGTGCGCAGGGTGTCAGGAGTCCTGTGCCCCCCTCCAGTCCAGCCCTGCCAGTAATGCTCAGGGGGCCTCAGCTCCCTTCTCCATCTGTCATTAGCTCAAGCCAGGAGGGTGAGGGGCAGGGCTCAACCATTGAGGCCCAAGATCTGTGGGTCAGTGGGGGCCATGCTTCTGGGGGGCTGTTGGGCTGGAGCACGGGGTTTCTCAGCAGCTCATGTCACCGTCCTCACGTCCACCTGCTTCTGGGGCCAGGGCTGTACCCTGGCCAAGGCCCTGCTGCCCAGGAGGGCAGCAGCTCCAGGCTGAGTGGTGATGTGGGGCCAGGCCCACATCAGGGCAGAGCTCAGCTCTCCCTAGTTACTGAATGCATTTCCTTTGTCCTCTCCCTCCCCCAGCTTCTCAGTCACTCCCTCTCTTCTGCTGAGTGCCCTTTTTCCTGGCATCCTCGCCCCGGAAACCGCCTCTTTCCTGCTGTTCTCTGCATCCCCTGGGCTGGAGTCTCTATTTGATGGGCCCCAGAGTGGCTGCTTTCTTGGCTTCCTGTATTGCTTTTGCTGGAGCACATCCTTGTGTGACTTCCTAAAAAGGGTGGTGAGTCCTTGGCTGC